CAGGCTATCATGAGTCTCTTGTTTTGGTTGACTGTTTATTCACTAGGACTTCAAAAAAAATGCTGAAAACTGTTTTTGGATTTTTGTATTGCCTGTAGATCTGGAGCTTATTTTAGGGATACTAGTGTATGATAGTGACTTATATGCCAGGTTTGTGTTGTCTTCTGGTTGACTAACGTGTTATATATATAGCACGCCTTTTACGAAATGACGCATTAATACACGAAAAGCGTAGCTTTGAGTGGATTAAATATGTTAATGAGATCGCAACATTAATGGCCGATGACACATGCCAGGAGTTAAACTTGACTGTACTTTTCATGAATTAAATATGCCAATCAAATAGTGGCGCTTTCTATGACAAAATGTCTCTAATTTTCAGAAAATGAACTCATGGATCGGACTTTTTAGTAGGATTTGATTTAATGATAGATTTACATATAAATAAATTGTTGCCGTGATACTTTCATCATGGTTTAAAACCAGAGAGCGATTTATGCGTTATTGAAGTTATCATTCAGTTATAAACGCACTCTCTAAAAAATATCTGAAGTTAAGTCACTCGAAGATCAAAGGAAAAATTACCATTCATGTTACAATTTGTGTTAAGGATGTATGGAGGGGGATTCATGTCCAGTTAATGTCTATTCTTTTATTTACCTTTTGTAAGTGGAAAAGTATGCAATTTTGTCATGATAGGTATGAATAAACTTGTAACTTTTAATAATTTTCTGTGAAATTTTATGACATATTAAAATAAACTGCTTCGCTGAGCGCAGCTGGATACGCCCGCAGAGGTCCAACCCTGAACAGTTAGGGGCAAAAATGGACACAATATTTAAGCTTGATACAGGTCTGAATTTGGATTGTAATTAAATATTTGACATTTTATAGGTTTCTGAATAAATGTAGTCAAAGAACTTGAAATTGGTTATATGAATTGAATTTATATTCAATTAAAGATTTCTTGCTGTTGTGCACTGTGCCGTTGCGCAATACTTAGTAAATCTGTTGTCAGACTATAAACAAATAAAGTTCAATTAATTCTCAATGTCATATTAGAAATTTATGAAAATGTAAAGGGAGCTTACATCAATAGATATAAACAATTCACCAAAGTTTCATGAGAATTGCTGACAGCATTTTTGAGCTATTGTCCGAAAACTGGAAAATCCCCCCCCCTTTTTTAATGAATAAAACCCCATAACTCAGAAATGATAAATGAAAAATTTATAAAATTCTAAACGGAGCTTACATCAATAGATATATAAACAATTCACCAAAGTTTCATAAGAACTGCTGAAATCATTTTAGATTTTTTGTCCGAAAACGGGAAAATCCCCCTTTTTTTATGAATAAAACCCCATAACTCGGAAACGTAAAATCTAAAATTTATAAAAATCGACAGGGAGCTCATGTCAATAGATATAAACAATTCACCACAATTTCTTGCAAGTTGGTGAAAGTATTCTTGAGTTATTGTCCGAAAACTGGAAAATCCCCCCTTTTTTAATGAATAAAACCCCATAACTCGGAAAATGTAAAATCTAAAATTTATAAAAAATGAAAGGGAGCTCACGTCAATAGATATAAACAATTCACCAAAGTTCTATGCAAATTGGTTAATTCGTTTTTGAGTTAATGTCCGACATGTTGACGACGGACGGACAGACGGACAGACGGACGGACGGACGGACAGACGGACAACGATATACCATAATACGTCCCGTAAACGGGCGTATAATAAGAAAAGAGAGGCGAAAGGTACCAAAGGGACATTCAAACTCATAAGTCGAAAATGAACTGACAACAGAATGGCTAAAAAAGAAAAAGACAAACAGACAAACAATAGTACACAAAACACAACATAGAAAACTAATTTAAAAGACTGAGCAACACAAACCCCACCAAAAGTGGGGGTGAAGATGTGGTATGATTGCCAATGAGACAACTCTCCACAAGAGACCAAATGACACAGAAATTAACAACTATAGGTCACCGTACAGCCTTCAACAATGAGCAAAGCCCATACCGCATAGTCAACTGGAAAAGGCCCCGGAATGACAAAAGTAAAACAATTCAAACGAGAAAACTAACGGCCTAATTTACTTACAAAATAATGAACGAAAAACAAATATGTTACACAGCAACAAACGACAATTACTGAATTACAGGCTCCTGACTTGCAGGCACAGGCACATACAGAATGTGGAGGGATTAAACTAGTTTGAAGGCGCCAACCCTTCTCTACATTATTTGCAGGATATAGACAGAGGGAGTTCATTCACTTTTCAGGTTCTTGCTAATCTGCAATTAATTCAAGACTAGAATAATGCAAGAATATGATTTTCTTTTATTTTATTTCAGCGAAATAAGGCATATTTCAAGATAGATTTGCTATTTCTTTGTTGCCTTACAACTGCAGAACTATTTTTTCGTATATAGAATCATTGCATGGTATGACCTCAACATATGGATCACTGATCAAAATTAAAATTTTGTGATCAAGTCCGTATCTCAGATACTATTATTTCAATTATATTTGGAGTATGGAACGATTGCAAGGTGTACATGTTCGTCTGGCATTTTGAATCTGTCCTTGATATTTGGTGCATGGAATGATTGTAGTGTATACATATAAAAAAGAAGATGTGGTATGATTGCCAATGAGACAACTCTCCACAAGAGACCAAATGACACAGAAATTAACAACTATAGGTCACCGTACGGCCTTCAACAATGAGCAAAGCCCATACCGCATAGTCAACTGGAAAAGGCCCCGGAATGACAAAAGTAAAACAATTCAAACGAGAAAACTAACGGCCTAATTATTACTATATATATATAAAAATATTAATTTTCGCGAACCATTTAGGTCACGGAAATTCCATTTTTTGCCATCAGTAAGGAGAGTTGTACAAATAATGTGAATACACAGAACCCCGATCCAATTCATCTTTTGCTAAAAATATTTATCATTTTCTGTTTTATATCTCCTAACATCATTCCATTTTTCTCTAATTTCGATTAAAATATGCCAAAACCTGCAGTAAAAATAGATGTATGCCCCAAATAAACATTCCCCGATTGGTTGAACTACTATGGCGTCAATGTAAGCCTCGATGTAAAGCAACGCAAGCCTCGATGTAAAGCACACACTTCCCATGAGTAAGGAGAGTTGTACAAATAATGTGAATTCACAGACCCCCGATCCAATTTATCTTTTGCTAAAAGTGTTCATCATTTCCTGTTTTGTATTTACCAACAACATTCCATTTTTCTATAATCCCGATTTAAACATGTCAAAACCTGCAGTAAAAATAGATGTATGCCCTAGGTAAACATTCCCCGATTGGTTGAAAAGCTGTAGCCTCGATGTAAAGCAACGCAAGCACACGCAAAAATTTCCGTTGATATGTTGAACTTCGACCCCGGGCCTATTCACAAGGAGACTTTCTTGCGCTCAAATGTAATTCTAAGTGAAGTATACTGGGAAAGTAAAATTATATTCTTTTACAGAAATATTTACACATTTTATCATTAATGTATTGTCATGCTTCTGCATATTTACGCTGAGCTTTAGTAAAATATAATTATATACAAATTTTGTTACGTCAAGCATTAAGAGTAAGAATACATTTCGCGCCAATAAAGAAAATAATCTGTGTCACCAAATAAGTTTATCAGCATCTTTCTGAAATTTTCCAACAGAAAATAGCGTTAATTATAGAGAAATTTTGGTGAGTATTACTTATTAATGTTAAGGTTCTCCAGAGGTGGTTCTCTACACCTTCTTGGCGGTCAATTTAATCCCATTTATCAATTATCCCCGATGGCGATGACACCCAGTCAATTTGTGCCATGACGGCATGAGTGAAAATCGTATCTAAATATCTATTTGATGAAATAACTTCTTCATTAACTGTACATGCAATATTTTTGTAGGTTTTGATAACCGTGCACATTCCCATTGCATGTCCGCAAGATAAATGGGTTATGCATTTGTGAATTGTGCAAGTACAGTAATATTGTGTAATACGAATAATGGCGGAGGAGAAAAATTTGTGACGGTCAGTGCGTGATCACGTGACATTATTATTTGTAAACAAACGGGCTCCCCATGTTACACGTGTCGGAACTATCCATACAAGGTGCAATCAATCTTATATTTCACTATTTGATGATATTTCTGTGTCTGTTTGTAGGTTTTGAAGATCAGATGTCATAGTGTAGTTTCATAGACAAAAAAGTACCATGATTGTTCCTGTTCAGTAGTTGTGATTTTTATACGACCGCAAAAAAATTTTGTGGTCGTATATTGGTATGACGTTGGCGTCGTCGTCGTCGTCGTCCGGCGTCGTCGTCCGAATACACAATGTTTTTCGCACTCTAACTTTAGTTTAAGTGAATGGATCTCTATGAAATTTTACCATAAGGTTCAATACCACAATAGGAAGGTGGGGATTGATTTTGGGGGTTATGGTACCAACAGTTAAATAATTAGGGGCCAAAAAGGGGCCGAAAATAAGCATTTTTGTAACTTCCAGACATAACTTGTATGTTATTGTATGGATCTCTTTGACATTGTACTACAAGATTCCATATCACAAAGGGTCGATGATGGGATTGATTTTGGGGTTAATTTCCTCGAAATTTTAGGAATAAGGGGCCAAAAGGGGGCAAAAAACAAGCATTTTTCTAGTTTCATGACAATAACTTGTGTGTAAGTGTATGGATCTTTCTGAAATTTTACTACAAGGTTCCATTTCACAAAGGGAAAGCTGGAATTGAGTTTTGTGGTAATTGCCCAAAACGTTTAGTGATAAGGGGCCTAAAAAGGGGTGAAAAATAAGCATTTTTTAGTTTCTAGACAATAACTTGTGTTCAAGTGTATGGATCTCTCTAAAATTGTATTATAAGGTACCATACCACAAAGGCAAGGCTGTTATTGAGCTTGGTTTGGGGGGGAAGGGGGGGTGATGAATCATAAGGGGGGGGGGGGGGGGGGTCAAAAAAGGGGTAATTATTTTTTTTCGTTTAAGGAATAAGGGGAAAAAAGGTTAAAAAACTAGGGTTTCCATTTTAATAGACAAATAATTGAGTAAAGAACATTATTTAAAAGCAGTGTAAGGTTGGTAATTCAAACTCATTTAAATATCTCACCTGCACTATGTTTGAATTATGTAAATTGGAAATTTGCCAATTATTTTAGTATAATAAACTTCATTGGAAATTTGCCAATTTTATATTGGAAATTTACCAATAGTTTGTTTATTTTTAGCTATGACTATGATGTCATTTTCTATTTAATTTTAAGGTTACAAATTAATTTCAGTTTTAAATATTATTGTAAAATGTTTGCCCAAAACATTTATTAATAAGTGGCCAAAAAAGGGGGCAAAAATAAGCATTTTTTTAGTTTCCAGACATTAACTTGTGTTCAAGTGTATGGATTTCACTGAAATTGTACTTAAAGGTACCATACCACAAAGGGAAGTGGGTCAAAAAAAATTTTTGGGGGGGGGGAATTTTTTTTCTTTAAAATTTTCCATTTTAAGTTGGTTAATTCTGATCACAAAGAGAAAGTTGGAATTGAGTTTGGGGGATAATTGCTCAAATGTTTAGGAATAAGGGGCTAAAAAAGGGGTTAAAAATAAGCATTTTTTTTTAGTTTCCAACAATTAATTGTGTTTAAGTAATTGGATCTCTGTGAAATTGTACTGCAAGGTACCATACCACAAACTGAAGCCTGGGATTGAGTTTGGGGGGGCGTGATGTGTGAAAATTTTCCACTTAAAGTTGGTTAATTATTTCTGATTTAGATATAAAAGCAAATAATAATGATGTGGTTTGATTTTATCAAAAACTTAAATTGAAGTTATGTATATTGTAAATTTAGGTTACATTGGAATTTAAGAATTGGCTTTGGGGTAGGGTTATGGCTCAAACCTTTAAATAATAAGGGAAAAAAAGGTGAAAAAACTAGGGTTTCCAGGTTAATAGACAAATAAGTACAAAACATTATTTAAAAGCAGTGTAAGGTTGGTAATTCAAACTCATTTAAATATCTCACTTACACTGCTTTTAAATTATGTAAATTGGAAATTTGCCAATAACTTTATTGTTAATAAATGCATTGGAAATTTGCCAACAATTTTAGTATAATAAACTTCATTGGAAATTTGCCAATATAAAATTTTGCTGATGAAGGTTTTTTGTTTACCTTTAGCCTTGACTATGAAGTCATTTTCTATTTTTATAGCCTTATGATGTAGTTGAATTATTTAATACTTTTATGATGTGTTTAAATGGGGTTTTATGGTTGCAAATTTATTGTTTTAGTTTAATAAACTCCATTTAAAATTTGGTAATAAAAAAAATTTTTGTTTATTTTTAGCTATGATTATGATGTCATTTTCTATTTTACTTTTATGGTTGCAAAGAAATTTTTATTTTTAGATATTACTGTTAAATGATGCTGATTAAGGTTTTTGCTATGTTTAGCCATGACTATGATGTCATTTTTATACGACCGCAAAAAAATTTTGTGGTCGTATATTGGTATGACGTTGGCGTCGTCGTCGTCGTCGTCGTCGTCGTCCGGCGTCGTCGTCCGAATACACAATGGTTTTCGCACTCTAACTTTAGTTTAAGTGAATGGATCTCTATGAAACTTTACCATAAGGTTCAATACCACAATAGGAAGGTGGGGATTGATTTTGGGGGTTATGGTACCAACAGTTAAATACTTAGGGGCCAAAAAGTGGCCGAAAATAAGCATTTTTGTAACTTCCAGACATAACTTGTGTGTTATTGTATGGATCTCTTTGACATTGTACTACAAGATTCCATATCACAAAGGGTCGATGATGGGATTGATTTTGGGGTTAATTTCCTCGAAATTTTAGGAATAAGGGGCCAAAAGGGGGCAAAAAACAAGCATTTTTCTAGTTTCAAGACAATAACTTGTGTGTAAGTGTATGGATCTTTCTGAAATTTTACTACAAGGTTCCATTTCGCAAAGGGAAAGCTGGAATTGAGTTTTGTGGTAATTGCCCAAAACGTTTAGTAATAAGGGGCCTAAAAAGGGGTGAAAAATAAGCATTTTTTAGTTTCTAGACAATAACTTGTGTTCAAGTGTATGGATCTCTCTAAAATTGTATTACAAGGTACCATACCACAAAGGCAAGGCTGTTATTGAGCTTGGTTTGGGGGTGAAGGAGGGGTGATGAATCATAGGGGGGGGGGGGGGTCAAAAAAGGGGTAATTATTTTTTTTTCGTTTAAGGAATAAGGGGAAAAAAGGTTAAAAAACTAGGGTTTCCATTTTAATAGACAAATAATTGAGTAAAGAACATTATTTAAAAGCAGTGTAAGGTTGGTAATTCAAACTCATTTAAATATCTCACCTGCACTATGTTTGAATTATGTAAATTGGAAATTTGCCAATTATTTTAGTATAATAAACTTCATTGGAAATTTGCCAATATAAAATTTTGCTGATGAAGGTTTTTTGTTTACCCTTTAGTCTGACTATGATGTCATTTTCTATTTTAATAGCCTTATGATGTAGTTAAATTTTTTTTAATACTTTTATGATGTATTTTAATGCGCTTTTATGGTTGCAAATTTATTGTTTTAATATAATAAACTCCATTGGAAATTTACCAATAGTTTGTTTATTTTTAGCTATGACTATGATGTCATTTTCTATTTAATTTTAAGGTTACAAATTAATTTCAGTTTTAAATATTATTGTAAAATGTTTGCCCAAAACATTTATTAATAAGTGGCCAAAAAAGGGGGCAAAAATAAGCATTTTTTTAGTTTCCAGACATTAACTTGTGTTCAAGTGTATGGATTTCTCTGAAATTGTACTTAAAGGTACCATACCACAAAGGGAAGTGGGTCAAAAAATTTTGGGGGGGGGATTTTTTTTCCTATTTTTTTTCTTTAAAATTTTCCATTTTAAGTTGGTTAATTCTGATCACAAAGAGAAAGTTGGAATTGAGTTTGGGGGATAATTGCTCAAATGTTTAGGAATAAGGGGCTAAAAAAGGGGTTAAAAATAAGCATTTTTTTTTAGTTTCCAACAATTAATTGTGTTTAAGTAATTGGATCTCTGTGAAATTGTACTGCAAGGAACCATACCACAAACTGTAGGCTGGGATTGAGTTTGGGGGTGCGTGATGTGTGAAAATTTTCCACTTAAAGTTGGTTAATTATTTCTGATTTAGATATAAAAGCAAATAATAATGATGTGGTTTGATTTTATCAAAAACTTAAATTGAAGTTATGTATATTGTAAATTTAGGTTACATTGGAATTTAAGAATTGGCTTTGGGGTAGGGTTATGGCTCAAACCTTTAAATAATAAGGGGAAAAAAGGTGAAAAAACAAGGGTTTCCAGGTTAATAGACAAATAAGTACAAAACATTATTTAAAAGCAGTGTAAGGTTGGTAATTCAAACTCATTTAAATATCTCACTTACACTGCTTTTAAATTATGTAAATTGGAAATTTGCCAATAACTTTATTGTTAATAAATGCATTGGAAATTTGCCAACAATTTTAGTATAATAAACTTCATTGGAAATTTGCCAATATAAAATTTTGCTGATGAAGGTTTTTTGTTTACCTTTAGCCTTGACTATGAAGTCATTTTCTATTTTTATAGCCTTATGATGTAGTTGAATTATTTAATACTTTTATGATGTGTTTAAATGGGGTTTTATGGTTGCAAATTTATTGTTTTAGTTTAATAAACTCCATTTAAAATTTGGTAATAAAAAAAAATTTTGTTTATTTTTAGCTATGATTATGATGTCATTTTCTATTTTACTTTTATGGTTGCAAAGAAATTTTTATTTTTAGATATTACTGTTAAATGATGCTGATTAAGGTTTTTGCTATGTTTAGCCATGACTATGATGTCATTTTCTATTTTAATATCTGTCATGATGTATTTAAATGGGCTTTTATGGTTACAAAGGAATTTTATTTTTAGATATTACTGTAAAATGTTGCTGATTAAGGATTTTGTTTATTTTTAGCCATGACTATGATGTCATTTTCTTTTTTAATACCTTTATTATGTAATTTCCATTTTTAGATATTACTGTTAAATGATGCTGATTGAGGGTTTGAATGCTGGGATTGATTTTGGGGGTAATTGCCTCCAAATTTTAGGAATTAGGGGGCAAAAAACAAGCATTTTTCTAGTTTCATGACAATAACTTGTGTGTAAGTGTATGGATATTTATGAAATTGTACTACAAGGTTCCATATCACAAAGGGAAAGCTGGAATTGAGTTTGGGGGTACTTGCCCAAAACGTTTAGGAATAAGGGGCCAAAAATAAGCATTTTTCTAGTTTCCAGACAATAACTTGTGTTCAAGTGTATGGATCTCTCTGAAATTGTACTGCAAGGTACCATACCACAAAGGGAAGGCTGGGATTGTTTTTGGGGGTAATTGTCTCAAAATGTTAGGAATTAGGGGCCATAAAGGGGCAAAAAAACAAGCATTTTTCTAGTTTCATGACAATAACTTGTGTGTAAGTGTATGGATCTTTATGACATTGTACTGCAAGGTTCCATATCACAAAGGGAAAGCTTGGTTTGAGTTTGGGGGTAATTGCCCTAAACTTTTAGGAATTTGGGGCCAAAAAGGTGCAAAAAAACCAAGCATTTTTCTAGTTTCCAGACAATAATTTGTGTTCAAGTGTATGGATCTCTCTGAAATTGTACTGCAAGGTACCATACCACAAAGGGAAGGCTGGGATTGAGTTTGGGGGTGATGAATCATAAGGGGGTTTCAAAAAATTTGGGGGGGGGATTTTTTTTTCCTTTTTTTTCTTTAAAATTTTCCATTTTAAATTGGTTATTTCTGATTTATATATAAAAGCAAATAATAATGATATGGTTTGAATAGGTAAATTAAAAAATTTTAAGTTCTTAGACTACTTTCATTCTGTGTGAGAAACCTATGCTGTGTCAAATATTTAATTACAATCCAAATTCAGTGCTGTATCAAGCTTGAATGTTGTGTCCATACTTGCCCCAACTGTTCAGGGTTCGACCTCTGCGGTCGTATCAAGCTGCGCCCCAGCGGAGCATTTTATCTATTTTAATATCTGTCATGATGTATTTAAATGGGCTTTTATGGTTACAAAGGAATTTTATTTTTAGATATTACTGTAAAATGTTGCTGATTAAGGATTTTGTTTATTTTTAGCCATGACTATGATGTCATTTTCTATTTTAATACCTTTATTATGTAATTTCCATTTTTAGATATTACTGTTAAATGATGCTGATTGAGGGTTTGAATGCTGGGATTGATTTTGGGGTTAATTGCCTCCAAATTTTAGGAATTAGGGGGCAAAAAACAAGCATTTTTCTAGTTTCATGACAATAACTTGTGTGTAAGTGTATGGATATTTATGAAATTGTACTACAAGGTTCCATATCACAAAGGGAAAGCTGGAATTGAGTTTGGGGGTACTTGCCCAAAACGTTTAGGAATAAGGGGCCAAAAATAAGCATTTTTCTAGTTTCCAGACAATAACTTGTGTTCAAGTGTATGGATCTCTCTGAAATTGTACTGCAAGGTACCATACCACAAAGGGAAGGCTGGGATTGTTTTTGGGGGTAATTGTCTCAAAATGTTAGGAATTAGGGGCCATAAAGGGGCAAAAAAACAAGCATTTTTCTAGTTTCATGACAATAACTTGTGTGTAAGTGTATGGATCTTTATGACATTGTACTGCAAGGTTCCATATCACAAAGGGAAAGCTTGGTTTGAGTTTGGGGGTAATTGCCCTAAACTTTTAGGAATTTGGGGCCAAAAAGGTGCAAAAAAACCAAGCATTTTTCTAGTTTCCAGACAATAATTTGTGTTCAAGTGTATGGATCTCTCTGAAATTGTACTGCAAGGTACCATACCACAAAGGGAAGGCTGGGATTGAGTTTGGGGGTGATGAATCATAAGGGGGTTTCAAAAAATTTGGGGGGGGGATTTTTTTTTCCTTTTTTTTCTTTAAAATTTTCCATTTTAAATTGGTTATTTCTGATTTATATATAAAAGCAAATAATAATGATATGGTTTGAATAGGTAAATTAAAAAATTTTAAGTTCTTAGACTACTTTCATTCTGTGTGAGAAACCTATGCTGTGTCAAATATTTAATTACAATCCAAATTCAGTGCTGTATCAAGCTTGAATGTTGTGTCCATACTTGCCCCAACTGTTCAGGGTTCGACCTCTGCGGTCGTATCAAGCTGCGCCCCAGCGGAGCATTTTATCTATTTTAATATCTGTCATGATGTATTTAAATGGGCTTTTATGGTTACAAAGGAATTTTATTTTTAGATATTACTGTAAAATGTTGCTGATTAAGGATTTTGTTTATTTTTAGCCATGACTATGATGTCATTTTCTATTTTAATACCTTTATTATGTAATTTCCATTTTTAGATATTACTGTTAAATGATGCTGATTGAGGGTTTGAATGCTGGGATTGATTTTGGGGTTAATTGCCTCCAAATTTTAGGAATTAGGGGGCAAAAAACAAGCATTTTTATAGTTTCATGACAATAACTTGTGTGTAAGTGTATGGATATTTATGAAATTGTACTACAAGGTTCCATATCACAAAGGGAAAGCTGGAATTGAGTTTGGGGGTACTTGCCCAAAACGTTTAGGAATAAGGGGCCAAAAATAAGCATTTTTCTAGTTTCCAGACAATAACTTGTGTTCAAGTGTATGGATCTCTCTGAAATTGTACTGCAAGGTACCATACCACAAAGGGAAGGCTGGGATTGTTTTTGGGGGTAATTGTCTCAAAATGTTAGGAATTAGGGGCCATAAAGGGGCAAAAAAACAAGCATTTTTCTAGTTTCATGACAATAACTTGTGTGTAAGTGTATGGATCTTTATGACATTGTACTGCAAGGTTCCATATCACAAAGGGAAAGCTTGGTTTGAGTTTGGGGGTAATTGCCCTAAACTTTTAGGAATTTGGGGCCAAAAAGGTGCAAAAAAACCAAGCATTTTTCTAGTTTCCAGACAATAATTTGTGTTCAAGTGTATGGATCTCTCTGAAATTGTACTGCAAGGTACCATACCACAAAGGGAAGGCTGGGATTGAGTTTGGGGGTGATGAATCATAAGGGGGTTTCCAAAAATTTGGGGGGGGGGGGATTTTTTTTTCCTTTTTTTTCTTTAAAATTTTCCATTTTAAATTGGTTATTTCTGATTTATATATAAAAGCAAATAATAATGATATGGTTTGAATAGGTAAATTAAAAAATTTTAAGTTCTTAGACTACTTTCATTCTGTGTGAGAAACCTATGCTGTGTCAAATATTTAATTACAATCCAAATTCAGTGCTGTATCAAGCTTGAATGTTGTGTCCATACTTGCCCCAACTGTTCAGGATTCGACCTCTGCGGTCGTATCAAGCTGCGCCCCAGCGGAGCATTTTATTTTTTATAGAATTAGAAGGTAAGTCTACATTAAATTAAGTCTGAAAAAAATGACTCAACGCTCTGTAATTTTTCCCCAATTTTTGAAACATGCATAATTTAAAGAGCATTTGCTTCCCTTGAACCCTCGATCCCCCCTACAAATTGCCTAAAACTCATAGGCCGAGATTACTCTGATGTCCAACATCTGTTTTTGCAATTCCTGCATTTTAACTCTTTTATTTTCAAATTGAACACACTCGGCCATTCAGCTTATTTGCATCATATATGAACGAGGTGTTAGATTATGTTTTCCTATTGAATAAGGGTCATTTTCATAAATCAGCTCTCATAATGCATTGAAAATTACTTTTTCTGTTGGTCATGTCCAGGGAAAAAACTTAACGGTCGCCTGGGCGATCTTTTAATTCAGTTGTGGTAGCCCAGGTGGCGAATTGAAAACAAAGTACCCGACAGGCGGAAATCCGCTGTTTACCGTGGCTCCGAGTGCCGGCTACTTCACTGACAAAAATATAAATTCAAAAAGAAAAAAAATCTTTTTAAAATGTATACAGGCAAGTGTCGAGAGTCGTATTGTCGCAAAGTCGCGGTTGTGATAAACAAGGATGTAAAATCAGAGTTTACCTTTGACTAAATATAGTTCACGTTAATTCAGTTCACTGATAGGTCGTCTATTTAAAGTCCGGAAAGTATTGTATGTTTGCAAGGATAACAAGAGAGACGTTCCGATGGTCATTTACAATATGAAGCGATCAAATACCCTGTTCGGTTTTGGCTTCAAGAAAGCGAAGAAATTCAGAGAAGATGACAATAGCATGTTATGAAATAATATCAGTCAAATAAAAGAACGTATAATATATAATGTTGTTAAGAATCTGGAAAACAGTACCTTTTGTAGTTCCCTTTTCAAAGCCCACGTGGTGTCCAGAGAATGAAGGTAAAAAAGGAAGGAGAATATTGTCGACCACAAATAAATAACATTAGTTCAAAATCATTTTAGTTTCCTACTATCTGAACAGTTTACAAAAAAGAGAAAATCAGAGGAGATATCAATTTTATGACAATGCTTTTGAAATACGTGTACAAGTCTTTTGAGAAAAAATGGGGGTCATTTGTTTACAAATGTACGTAGTTACACAAAATAAATCGATCAAGATATTTAATAAATTAGATTATTAAAGAAATAAAATTAAATATTTCATCGATCATCTACATGTATTTGAGGACAGAGAATTCTTTTTAAAAAAAAACTGGTACACAGGGTATGAAGATTCCCATTTTGTAAATGATTTTTTTTTTTATTAAATTTGATTGAAGTCAACAACAAAAA